TCTCTCCAATAAGCCCTCCCTCAAACGTGCCTGAAATAAATAAGCCCCCTGGGGGGCTAAATAGAGGATTTACGGTACCATAAGTTCTTGTGACACTGTTCATAGACTGTTGTCATGACAAATTATTTGAATGTCTCGTATGCCATAAATATATCATCTAGAAAACTTTCAATACAAATATGCATTTAAAAGTTATTTCAAAATGACCATGAAATTTTGTAAATTGGCCAAGTCACTTGTTTAATATGTTTTTTGTCCTTTTAGTGAGCTGAGAAAGGAACAGCTGCAAGCCAGGATTTCATTACTACCTGTACTACAGGCAGAAAGTGATAGAAGGTTTGTTACCATTTCTCACATTTTAAAGATATACATGCTGGGCACAAAAGCAACTGAAACCATCACTTTGGTAAAAAAAAATCCATTTCAATTCCAAAGTTTTTAAAACTTGACTATGAAACAGAGGTCATTGATCTTCACAATCATTGTTTTACCTTTTGCAATTATTTTAAGATTTTTGGTGGGAAAATGATGTCACAAAGTTGATGCCAAACTTTCAAGTTTTCTCTATGACCAAAATGAACAAATTTTTTAAGAGACATTGATAATGGTTGATAATTATATGGTTGTTTCAATCGCACACTCTTAATTCTACCCTAGAGGTGTTGTTCTCTGTGATTGCTTTCATTTCGTCTGGCACTCATTCGGCTCTCTCACTCAGTCAAGGTGCTCATTTGAATTTTAGAAGCTATGAATGTAATGGTCTTTTTAAATGTTAAATGGAATATCAGCTAAAAAAGAGAGTTCCCTCAGAAAATTTACTTCCAAAAAGATGTAATTTTCAATTTTGAAATTGTACATTTATTTGACTGAGTATAAATGACTTCAATTTCTGTCGTGCCATGACCTTCCTCATGCAGCTAACTGAGGGACAGTTTTAAAATAAATAAAATAAATAAAAACTAAAAGCCTAATGAGCAGCTGTAAAAAGACTTGAGTGGCAAACTTTTTAATATGCTGTGGTTGGCATCCGTTTTAGCTTACATTATATTATGGGTCTGAGTTTTTGAGATCTCAAAAACACAGACAGACC